GAAATAGCGCTACAGAAAATGCTTATTAAAATAATAACATTAAAAATGTTTATCAAATACTGCCCTCATCCAGACAAAAAAAAGACATTAATAAAAATCTAATGACTCGTTGTAAATTTGTTGTTTTATGAAGATTTAAGCCTCTGCAAAACAGTATTTCCTTAAATAGGTCCCTCCAGATTCATCAAAATAGGAATAATGTGTACATGAAATTTACATTTCTATCCTTTGTTATCGTCAGTAGAATGTCTTTCCGCTGTTTTTCGTGCTCACAAACTGTAGACATTTCCCTTTAGTAACATGACAGCCAATGACCTTTATGCCCATGCTATGCCGATAGAAAGCCTCGCCTAGCTTGGTGGATATGTAGATAGGCTTCTACGAGAATGTATGAAATCATGCCTGCATAATTATGTAAATGACATTGTATTAGGTTATAAAAGTGTTGAAAATAAATTGTCATTAAAACTATTTTAGAATTAATGTTAAAGTTGATGAATTTTAGAAAGACCAGTGTATGTGGCTGCTAACAGAGTGTAAGCATATAATAATGTCTGTATATTATAACATGACATTTTATTAGGTTATGAAATTTAGGGTGTTGAAAATAAATTGTCATTTAATAACTATCTCAAAATTAATGTTGAAGTTGATAAATGTTATTTTTTCAAATATGAACATGTACTGTATTCAATTTATTGTGTAAATTATGTATCTAAATATATAAAATTAGAAATTCTATGGTAAAAAGTTATAAAAGTAATTAATCCAAGCGGTATGTAAAGTACTCTTATGCGGGTGCTTACAAAGGGATCAATTTTGTTATGTGTGATTTAACCTGGGATTTTAAACTTTTTGGCATTGGTCATTTAAAAGGTGTTCCTCCGGTTGAGAAGCACAATTATAATCTCCAACAGCCATAAGACAGTCTTGTAGTTTATAAACTAAGCATTTCCCAGAAAAACTTTTGTAGCGCTGGGATATTAGTCAAGCACAAACAGGAATCCACAATGCATTAAGCAAATGCACAGCAGTAAACTAAAGGATATTGTCCGAATCTTGCAAGCGCATTTTCCAACTTGAAACCACTTTCCCAGCTATATAATGTTTATACTAATCTGATCATATCATGAATTTTAAAATGTAATCATCCTGAATGCTTAATATTGAAAATAAACGTAGTTAAGCAAAAACATGATACTATAACATGTGTTTTTAAAAAAAATCCACTACAAATATTGAAGAATATTATTAGTGGAGAAATTTTTTAGTCATGAGAAATAATCCTGCGCTATTACAGGATTTGAACCTCACCTTACCCACCAAAGGTACATCTTCACCCATTAGTATATTTACAAACATGTATTAATTTTTAAAAATTCCATATTTTATGCTTGTAAAAATGTAAACATCCTAGGTTCTCAATAGTTAATTGGCTGGGAATACTATGCATTGCTTTCTATTGGTTGGTGACTAAGTTTGATGGTATATGCGGGTAATACACATGAAAGAGAGGCACTTAAGTTGATGGTTATTAAAAGGTAATATTTGGCAGCGTATCTTTATCATTGAGCAAGTATTACATGTGAAAATTCATTAAAACCATCAAGTTACAGGTATCCAAACTAATTAACTAGGTCTTAACCTTGTCTATATTTAAATTTAAAAATCTAATATCTCTTCTAAAATACATGAATTTTTTTTACAACAGAGTTAGGAGATTTTTAATTGAAAAAGTTACTTGAACCCAATTAAAAGTCGATAAGAGGAGGTTGATTACGATTACTTCCAGTAAAAGTCAATCATAATTTTTAGAGATGTCAAAGCATGTCATATCTTTTAAAAGAGAGGTGTTAAAACTAGGGCAAATTTAGATGTTTTTTTAAAAATCTGAAATAGATTTGTAGTATATTTTTTTGGCACAGATGACAAAATTGTACTCGTATTTTGGCTATTCAAGATATATTTGGATATATTTTACTTTTAATATTATTGTTTGGCTGAACAAATTGATAATTTAATATGAGTAATTCACATTTCAGATTGATTTTATGCTTAAAATAGAGATTGCCTTCAACACATATGATGCTTTTCTTGTCTCAAATTAAGAAAAGCATTTCTTTACACACTCTGTCTGGATTACCAAGTTTTCTTTGACAAAAGACCATATATAGTCATGGTGTAATGTCACTGACCATATTTAGACATATCACATTTTCCTGTCAAATAATATTTGATTGTCTTGACAAAAAAAGAGTAATTTTGTTTAAAATTGGAATAAAAAAATAATTTATTATTAATTTTAATGTATATGGGAAGAGATACCACTAAAAACAGACTGCATGTAGCGCATTAATTTAAAAGAGAAAAACTATAACCAAGAAGAATAATAAAAATAAGAAAACAAATATCACCGAATTGCTTTGCGAAAGTCTGGCTGAAATTCTTGACACAAACTAGGCAAAAAAAATCACCTGTATGGGTACTAAGATCATAAATGATTGACAGTATATGCTAAATCACTATTTTGTGGAGAAATCTAAATATGTTGAAAGGAAATAAAAAATAAAATTGCACATTCATTTAGCCTGAGGTCAAACCGATCTCACGCCAGCATTACAGTACTTAACATTTTGAATGCTTTCCTTTCTGGTGAGATCTCTGTATGTCTCGCAACATGCCACTCACTAACATTACCGCTCCCCCTGCTGTGGCGACGGAGGCTACATCTTCATTTAATCTCATTTAGTTTGTCCTTAGGTTACTCTAAAATAATTTACAGAACTGACGAGTAAATCTAACTACTTTAATTTTATGTCCATGAGCATAAAATATTTATACATTAAAAAATTGAACTAAACTTTGAATATAAATGAGTAAAAAATACTAAAATCCAATAAGATATCAATTCCTGTGTCCCCTAGGACTTGTCAGGAGTAAAACAATTGACAGAACTGGAGAGAGGTAAATCCAGTTACTTTATGGATATATGAAATATTTGTATAAAAAGTGAACTAAATATATAGATGAGTAAAATATGAAAATCCAATTTAAGTGATTTCAATTCATGTCAGAACTTGCGAGGGGTTTAAAACTTAGAATGGTTTCATACTGATAAGAATGTTGCCACTTGAGAAGAAATATCCTAGTGCTTATGGTGGGATAATTCTGTGAAATTTATTAGTACTTTAATACCAAGTTGTATGAAAAAATAAATCATTTAAAATCAACTTATTTTTTTGTGATTTGTTATAAAGAAAACATTTGCACCTTAAGCACCCTTGGTTGAGCTGTGTGCATTATAAATCTATTATTATTATTATTATTGTTATTATTATTATTATTATTGTTATTATTGTTATTATTATTGTTATTGTTGTTGTTATTATTATTATTTTACATTTTCAAAAATGAGATATCATGCCCATATCGTAAAACCTTAAATAGAAGCCCTGCGCTTCATTTTTAGGACTCTTGCATGGCTTCTTTTCAAGATGGGCTTCTTTTCAAGATTAATTTTTGCAAACTAAAGATTGGGGGAGATCGGGCTAATTTTCAAAATGAATGCTGTAACTCTTGGAATTTCTAATATACGACATTTTGTCAACTATGGAATTATAAAATTATGTTTAATATTTTTTTAATATTAGCCATGCTAGTTCAGTAAGGTAATATTCACACGTACACGCTATCATAATAATCAAAGATAACACCAGTCTGAATATAAGTAAAAAGAAGCCCATGTTATCTTAATTAGAAACACATGGGCTTCCTTTCGGGACAGCTTCTTCTCAAGATTATGCCCATGGGTCTTTTGCTGTATACGAGGTTTTATGGTATATGGACAAGTTTACCGAAATTTGTTACAAAAAAATTATAGTGTGAATAGAGGCTGAAGGCTGTTGAGTAACTTAATCATAACAGGAAAAGTATTCCTGATGCTCTCATTCTTCAAGAATAGAAAATCGTATTTTGAAAGGTAGCACTGAATACTGATTACTGTAGAATTGATGTATTGGATTGTACTACTAATGAAGTTATTGTTTTTTAATTGTATTGGCACAATAGAGCACATCCATCTGTATTTAAATAGATTAAGGCTAATTAATTGGTTTATTACTGATTTTTTTTGGTGCTGTAAACACTAATTAAGCATTATTGTTTTACATTGTCACTGCAGAGATTAGCTCTATTATTTTTGTCATTATTATTATTGTAAAGTGTTATTATTATTACCTACTGTATATTTTATATTTATTTATAATTTATGTTTTATTTATTTATTTATTTATCCTCTCAATCAAAAGCATTTTTCTTAACTTTCTCCCTAATATCTTTTGTCTGGGTGATTTATCTTTCTTTTGATTTCAACTTTTTTAACTGTATATTGCTTTTGATATCATAGACGGATGTAATTGCCCTTGAGTAGGTTTTTGTGGTAGATTTCTGGGCTCTGGTTATTGTCGTGAACGGCTACAATATCAAAATATCCATTTTCGGCTAATTCACATATTATAGTACAGTGTATATTAGTTTTTTACAGTCAAGGCAACTAAAAATCTGGGCGGCGGGGAGCGGGTGCAAGTGAGGGGCAAGGTAACATTTTAGGGGGAAATATACTGTGGTGTAGTAAATTGTTGAGAAGTTCTGAAATAAAAGGCTATAGCCTTGAAAAAAAAAATGATTGTCAGGCATATACATTGTAGCAGTGCCTCTAAAAAAATAATTCAAAAATAAATAAATAAATAACATAAAGTAAAAAAAATAAAACAATAAAAAAATAAATAAATAAAGAAAGCCAAATTACTCAGGTAAGGATTGACAATGACGACAATATGATCCTATATTGTTATTTAGTATTTTATATTTTGATAGTTTTAATCTGGCATGCATCTTGTTTGGTTTATTATCGATGAAACAGTTCTAAAATTAAATTTTGTATGTATTCCTTTTATATTTTTTTCTCATCTGTTCATGAATGTTTTTCTTTTTCTTTTTAGCCACAAGGTGAGGGATTCAGTGTGATTATGAAAAGTCCACCAATCACAATTTCTAATGCAGGTAAGATATTTTCAAATTTCAATATATCTTATAACTCAGTATTTATAATAACTTGTCTGTCTAAGAGCATATTTATATCTATTCGCACATTATTATCTTTGATGGAAAGAAAAAAATGTCTCTCAAATGATACAATGAATACGTGCCTAGCACTGGGTTTGAACTCGTCAACTTGTGCTTAAAACTGTTTTTACCTGACTGAAGCACCAAATCTAGGCTCCCTCAGTTGTCCCCCACCAAGGTTTTTTTTCTATATTTATAAACAAAGCCAGATACATCCCAACTTTAATACTGTTGAAATTCAGGGTTTTTTTTTCTCCATTTTCAAATTACACTAATAATTTTTATGTAGGTACTCCATGGAAATATATTTGTTGGCACATCTTCAAACAAGTACAACTGCATTTAACCAGACCTCTAAACGATAGTCCACCATACACATTCTAGCAATTTCTTGGCGTAGAGCTTCGATGATAGGAGCCTTTTTTTAAGCATCACCTGATACAGTACAAAAAAATAGAATGATGTAGTACATTCATCTCTTATTATTTCTTTAGAAGTTTGATAACTCAGATGATGGACAGGTGTCGATGATATGTCAAAATTGCATGACTCCGACATCGCTATAAATGTCAATCATGGTGCTGCCAAAAGATCTTATTTCAGTGGGAATCTATATTTTTGATATGATATAATTTCCAATGATTTTCAACCTCATTGTGGCTTGATTTTTTTACCATTACTTCTGTCGAGTTCAATTCTCGCTAGTAACTTCATCTTCTGATAGCATTGTCTGACGTGATTGAACTTGATGTTTACTGAGCCTCCTGCAAACATCAATGTCATCGATTGCAGCCTACGGATATTGCCTTTGAGCAGCGTGCTGATGCAGAGTGTTCAAGTGGACGAATCGAACAGGTTTTACCGCTATCAGCTACAAGAAATGCATCGTAAAAGTTGCCAGAACATAGAAAAAGAATCAATGGGACATGTTATAGATAATCGTGTCTCTGTTTTTGGCGGATGTTTGATATGCCTAACAGATTTGGCATCAGATTACAGAAGTCTGCATCTGAAGTGAATAGAAAAAAATACTATAAGATGATTTTTCCATTGAAGACCCTTTGAATTTGCTTTAACACAAATGAAGATAGAAGTATTTAAACTTTTTAATTATAGCAACATCTCAGAAAACAGTAATCGGTGGCATTCCCATGCCTTGGTGTTCTGCCTGGTATGATAGTCGCTATACCTATTTGTTGGAATGTGGCTTCATGTTTGAAATATTTGTCTAGATTTTTTAATTTTTGATATTCAGTATTATTGTATTGTATAAAATCACCTTTTAGAAAATGAGGAATTGATAAGCTGCCTAAAAAATGTGTCCTGTTATAAACTAAAATCAGCTTCAGCACTAACTAAATCACTATATTATGTTGTGGACAGGCGAGAATAGCTGGTATCAGTTTACTGTGTGGCTTACACAGAGACACTTAGAGAAGTAGCAAGTTACTGTTTGAGACAGTCCACACCTTGAGCGCTTTGAGACTTCTTCGGTATAAAACAGTATATAAATCAACTACATTACGCTGGCCACATTTCCTAGTACTCTGTATTGCAGACTTTATTATTGCTAAATTGAGGTTGTGAAAGGGAGTTTAGTTACCTTTATTCGCAAGAAGTAATTATATTTTATGGTAGTTGATATATTGCCTTTAATGTTAAGATGGTGTTGAAGAAAATGGGGAATAAGCTCCAGCCCCATACTGTAAGTCCTAGTAGCTTTGCAAAGATTTACTTTTTAAGGTTGCAAATCGCTTTTTCTCCAGATCGTTTGGTGTAGTGTAGAATTTATTCTACATTGACTCCTTAACCACTGCATGCTACATAGTTCCTAATACAACTGTCTGTTTCTAGGGGAAGGAAATAAAAGTAGCCTAGATTATTGAGTTGTGACACAAGGGCAAAAATGTTTTTTCACCCTTAATATTCTTTATTTTATTTTCTCACGTGTTAATAATTTGAATGTGTTTTTCGATGTTTCCTCAGATTTATCAGAAACTCCGCAGCTTCTGTCGCCACCATCACCTACGTTTCACGGCAGTAGAAGCCTGTCCATCAATTCATTTGACAGTTCAGACCTCACCGATAATGATAAGGTAAACTTTTCGTTTTTCAAATATGGTTCCAATCTTCTATTCTATTACAACCGTAACCACAAATATTCAAAGAAATGCTTGTCGAGTAATCTTAGGTTGATGCTTGATTATGAGGGTGCTACCACTTCAGCAGTCTCGACAACCCAAGTACTGTACTTTGAGTTGATTCCGGTATTCATTCATAACCTAATACCGCAAGTTATGTTGTAGGATGCAGCATTGCTTTATAAAACAAAGGAGAGTGGCTATTTTGGAGGCTATCAGAGACAAATGGTCACTCCCGTTTCACCTAGCTGCATCGTCATATTCTTATGAGTCTGTTATCTTTGTTTATTAAAATGTTATTTCTACTATCATCATCATAATACCCTTTTCACAATGACTTTTTCATTTTGATGCATAGTTTTATGAATATACTAGAATGCTAATTATGTCAGTAGTGTAGGAACATTTGTGTATTATTATTTTTGCATTAGAGTGACAATATACCATCAACGACTGGTGCAGGATCTTGTTGCGATTTGGAGAATATTTAAACGTACATCTCGTACCATTCAACATCATCTAGATTCAAATGCCCCCTTCAGTTCCCAATTATAACTTTATTGTCATGCATTTGAGCAGTCTTTTGCTTGTACAGTATTGGCAATTTAGTGTGAAACTATTTTACAGGATGAAATTTATTTGAGTTAGCATTAATAACTATGCTTGATGTGAAAGTATGTTATAGCAGATACACCAACATTCAAAATGAGGACATTAGATACCATCACGTCAGCATATTGAAACCAGTTTAATCAATCACAGAGAGGGAAATTACAATCTAATTTTTAAGAAAGTAGGATTTACTGAGTAAAATGTGAAAGTTGATAAAAACATAGAATTTCAGTTTTAATTTAAATCTTGGCAAATTACTGTGGATTTTTTTCAATGATAATGTTTTTTTTTTCTCAGAGCCTCTTGATCCAGCAATTAATAATGTGTATATTCCCCTAGATTAGGAATCATGTGTCTTCCCCTGTGTGGGATCTGCCAGGCCTAGCTATCAACAGTGTTATTAACGTCATATTAGACCCATTGCATCTTACTGGCTGACACCGTTTATAAACCATTACATACTGTAGATCAAGAGAAAAAGAATGTCAGCCAATCGTATGGACAGAACCGTGATAGCAAAGCTTAGTGGGTCCCTGCACTTGATTCAGTTTAGCTATAGGTATGCAGCAACGAACCAGTCTGCTTGTAAATCTATAATTTTATTTCCTGTTTGGTTCCAGGTGGTTTGAAAGATATTGACCTAATTATAGTATATCAACATTTCTATATCTCGCATCTTGAAAAGAAAGTTTATATTTCTTTGAAACTTGGAATTACTATGCATAATTGCTGCAAAGTTATCTATATTTTTCCTTTTTGAAATTGGTCAAGTATAGGTTTTATGTATTCTTCGGGGATCAATAGCTTTTTTAATTACCAATCGGATTTCCATCTACAATGTTTTTCCATTAATTAGCTGCCATGCATTAATTGATCTTTACAATATTATCTGCATACTCAACCTTTCGACAAACTATCTATCACAGATGGTATTCATTTGATTATGTGCCCTGACCTTTGACATTGCCATAAGCAAATGTGCATGTGAAACTAGAAGATGGTTTATGGCAAGACAAAGTAAATTGTACTTCTCAAGGCATAACGTAAGATTGATGTCCTTTAAGCTATTATTCCTCATTGTATAATGAATTATTAACTTAATAATGATGAATTTTCACATTTTAATAATGTATCCCACTGTACATATGTGATTGAACATTTCCTAAGCCCATCGGTGCATGTCTTTCTCTAGCCATCAGCTACCGTGTCACAGGGCGTGAAGCCCAAGACAAATCGCTACTCTGAGCTACAGAAAACTGTAAGCCAACCTGAAGAACCGAAGCAGGTAAACTTTCGCTGTCCTTGGTTACAGTTGATGTATTACTGCTTCCGTTGCATGCTCGTAGTCCCCACCTTCCCTAATCCGTAGAAAATGTTTTTTGTTGTTTAAAAGTTCTGCATTGATTAGTTTTCTTGATTATATTTAGATTTGTGTTACTTTTGATTGTTTTTTTGCAGTAGTATTAAGTAGTATTGTCATGTTATGAACCTGTATTTAAATTATTTTTAAACACGTTTATTTTCTCTTAGGCGAGAATTTTTTTATACTTTGTTTTGCGAACTATATTTTTTTAAAGAAAAAAATAAATAAATATAAAATTTTGTTTTCTTATTTAGCGAATAGTTTTGCCAAAACCATCCAGATGGAGACGAAAATAAAATTTTATTGTTGAGTGTAAACAGTGAAGTACTGGGAAGGTAAATACTTAAAAATCGGAAGAAATATACATCATATTTTTGAAGATTCCAGTGCAGCGGCTGGCATGACAAAAATAAAGAAAAAAATTTTTTTTCTGAAATTTTTATTTTTTTTGTAATGACGGGTAGGCTAATTGGCCAAAAATAAAATTTTAATTTTATTCAAAATCATCATTATTTGCGGTTGACAGTTCGCTAAACATAAGGTATAAAATTGTCTCGCCTTCACTTGGTCCAGTATCAATATAATGATAAAGGGCCTCTAACAAATTATTGCAGCTTAATTCTTTATTAAAATAGTTTTTAACTTTTTAATTTAATTTAATTACCTGCATGATTTGGTTTTATTTTTAAATTTCTGATTTATATAACTTTTATACCATATTCTATATTGCTTAAGATACCCCTTGAGCGTACCCAAATTCCTAGGAACTAATTTTGTTTCTGCATTTGAGTTTGATTAAGATTACTGTGGCTTTCTATAAGTTACCAGTTTTTTAGCAGTAGGACAGGACGGAATTTGACAGATTGTATCATTTACAGCATGACCCCTACATCACCACTTTTTTCTCATTAACATTAACTTGCTAGTAAAATTATAATTTGTGTAGTTTGAACATTTTGTAACGATTAACAATTAGTCTTTTGTTTTATTTAACATTGTGAATTTTGTTTGCAATGTGTTTTACTAGAATAAAATGCACAATTATTCCTGTAGTTATGAATATGGTATATTGTTTGTATATATTTTTTTTATCATTTATTTGTTTAATTTTTGGCATGTTTTTGTAGTACAGTATTGTGTAGATTCTATATGTTAGATGTTAAATGAATTGTTTGTTAATTTGAAGTTATTTGTAATCATATAAAGGTAAGTATATTTTCTGTAATTATTCATGATTCATGAATATTTGTATTTATATTCATGACTATATCCATTTTATTTTTGATATAAAATCCATTTTCAGTAATATATATACAAAGCAATAAATATTACCACATAATATGAATATTAATAACACATGAGTATTCACATTATCTGACCGATAGTAGAATACTGTAGTTCTGTACATGTTACAAGGTTCAATGCAATGTTGAGGCTTTAATTTGTTTCTACAAAACGGTCCCGGTAATAAAACACGTCCGTTGTGTCCATAAGCTGTCGTTTGTCGTCTAATACAGATGTAAAATACGTACTAGGGCAAAGTTTGATTGAAACATTTCAAGTGTGAGGTTACGGTTGGTGTGGTCGAGTCATTCATGGCTTACATGATACGGGGAGACTTGCTACTTTATAGATCCCCTAACGTCAATAACACTCAACGCTTTATGCTTTATCTGCTTCCTTCATTAAGTCAAAACTTAATATAAAAATGAACATTGCCAGCACTGTATTAAGAATGGCATAAACACAATTGCACATTTAAAGATCTACGTAGAATTCAGTGAAAATAACACTGGTGTTTTCAGAGTTACTTATTATTAGTGACAAATATGGATTTTGATACAATAATATTTTTTTAAATTAAAATTTCTTTAGTTCCAATTTTTGCGAGAAGCAACTTCTAGGAGCTCTGTGTTAATGAGATACGCATAAGGCCAAGTGAAAAAAAGAGTACTTTCTCGTCCTAATGTTTTAAAAGGAAAATAAGGGCTCTTTTTTTTTGCTCCAAGATGGCAAATCCAAGATGGTCGATGGGAAATAGCTACTACTTTGTCACTTTTACCAAGTAGACACATTGAAAGCAAATAAAAGGAGCACCAGACATGATTCATAACATATGTACATATCCCCAACCACAAACGATAGAGAGGAATTTTACTGATGTTAGTTAGCCAGATTTTCGTACATTTCGTAAAAAATGAAGGGAATGAAAACAAAATTTGGTGAGGCAGAGAAAATAGATGCACGAACGGATGAGAAACTTTTTGTTAAGTATTAATTACTAATTAATTTAAAATTAAATGATGATAATAAAATGGTCCTTAACAGTCAGAAAAAATAAAGAAGAGAAATATCACACATCCTTCCTCTTTACAGCTTACACGATTATATGCTTAGATGATTTTTCCGGTTGGTCACTTTGATTTTAATGTGTTATTCCCATTGGTCACTTTAAGACAGCCTGATTTATTCTTATTGGTCATACGAGATTACCGGATTATTCCCTCTGGGCACTTTTTGCCTATAGTTTTTAATTCTTATATGATCACTTTAAATTGCATAATTTATTCCCACTAATCATTTAAGATTATATAATTTATTCCCACTGATCAAAAATTATATAATTTATTCCCACTATAGCATTCAGATTTCATTCCCACTAGTTTAATTTAAAGATTACATAATTAATTTTATTTCCACTGTCACTTAGATTTAAAATTTATTTTCACCAGTCAGTTTAGATTATATTATTTATTCCCATTGGTCACTGTAGTTGGGAGATTATTCCCAATAGATCAACTTCGTTTTTCCTGCAGGAATGGTTCTATCCTGACTGTTAAATGCATTGTTTGCCTTAATATATATGGTAAACTTTATCTTTTAGACATTCAGCATGCATACAAATGGCAGATTTTTGTTTATTTATTCTTAGTTGTGAAACTTTTATAAAGCTTTGGAGAAAATTCTGTAGAAATACATGCCACTCCATCCCTCTGTTAAGATTTTTTTTACAGGCGTAGTTCATCCAGTTAATTCTTCATCATCTGAGTCATTTTATATTGGTCATCAGTGTCATAATCCATTGATGTCATTTTACATTGATTGCACGTTGCAATGGTGTCTATCTGAATCGAGCGCTACCACAGTTGCAGAACATAAAGCTGAAGCCAAAAATAGCGAAACAACATTCCGTTTTGTTTGTTTGTTTCTTGTTAGTTTCTCCACTCTATCAAATAGTTCTTCGCTCATAAGAAGGCGGACGTTCCATCAATTTCAATGCAAACTACTTGAAAAGCTCATTAATCTGCTACCAGTATATGAGTTCTTTGGCGCTACTGCATTCCGCAGATCTACCAATTCCGTTATTCTTATTAAGGTGCCATGCCCTCAACTTGAATAATTTAGATACAACATATTTTGTGAATTGTATGTTACTCATCCACTACTACTGATTTTTAATAAATTGCTTTTGCCAGAAACTTGTATTCATTTTAAAACTATGATAACAACGGAAATTAGAATAACCTTCGACAATGGTCCCATTACATCAAATTATCGAAGTATTACCTGAGATACACCACTTAGAATGTCTGTATTTTGTTGTCCATGACCAGCAGTAACCTTGATGTTTTTTTAATCAGGTCATTAAAAATTCTGCTTATTTGTGATTCTTATGAATTAAAGCGTTATTTGATGGCATGATTTTTTGGTGTTTTGTTCCCTTACATTTGTAATAAGTCACGTCCTACCACAATTGGACAAGTAAATATGTACACAATTTTATAATTGGCTAATGACGTTGATTATCTGTAGTCATGTGGTCAGTATGGTTTAGACGTCCTATTATTCAGTAGTTGGTAGCATTAAGTTTTCATTTTAATAGTGATTTAGTGTAACCTTACAACTATTCAACATACATATTATGGGATGGTTCCGCGAAATAGTCTCGTGGGCCACCGATAGAATAGGTGGAGACTAGAGAGACAGACGATTCTTGGGCAAGCTGCGTCTTGTGGTCATGCATTTGATGAATAAAACCCTTTTATAATCAGTTTTACATGGTGTCTGGAGTCTCATTGTATTTCTCGAACACTATAGGGTCACACTGGTGCCGTGACCAGCTGTTTTTATCCTCTTTTTATAGGGTCACATTAGTATCGCATTCTGAGATTTAGTTCCACATTCTCATTTTTTGCACAATCCAGGCCGAAACCAGCATAAACCTCTGATGTTAAATATACAGATAATTTGTATAATTCTGTTCACTTTTAGAAATCCACATTTTCCATAACAGTGACTGATAAGAACAGCAAACCAGCATACTGAAATGGC